ATCCAGAATTCAAATATGAGCTAATATCTAAAGAATTTTCTCTTGCCAGCCATTTATCAGCTATTGAGAGCAGTAAGAAGCCATGGATTTTCTTTAGGATAGCCTACTCTATTTTTTTTTCCTCTTCAGCCCATGTTTTTGTTCTTTCAGCCCCAAATTAGCCTGCAACCTCTGTCCTCTATCAGGCTTGGTTCTCACTGGACTGTTTCTTACCCTTTTCCATGTATAGTAAAACCAATTACTCAGAGAATGGTGGGTTTCCTTCATGGGTTGTGTTTAAATGGAGACTAGGCAGACATTCATCCAGAAACCTTCAATTTGGATTCTTGAATTAAGCAAGAGGTTGAACTTGATGATTCTATAATTTTGAGGTTTCTTTACTTGGAAAGATTTATTTATGCATAGCTTTCACCTCCCTCAAACAGATATTATTTATCCTTTTTGGTTTTAATGCTTTTAATACTGCAGGCCAGTGATGGCTAACCTTTTCCGGACTGAGTGCCCAAAGCACACCCGAACCCCCAAAATGCACACTCCCCCCCCGCATGCACGCATGGCTCCCCTGCACAGCCCCCCATCCCTCGTGCATGCGCCGCAGAGACCCGAAGAGCAGCTGGCCGTCGGGAGGCACGCACACATGCGCAGCGGAGCTGAACTGGGGCAACAGCTCATGTGCCATCATGTGCTGCGTGCCATAGCTTTGCCATCACGGCTGTAGGCTGTCGAGAGTCACTTTGAAACGAGATGGGCAGCAAATAAATCTAATTTATAGATTTAGGTAACTTATGTAAACAACTAGCTATAAAAATTAGCATTATCAATTAAGAGACTCACTTTCTTCCTTATGATATCTTCAAGAACTTTCTGCTTTTTAAGCAATATTACAACAGCACACCTCAAGCTCCACCTATTTGGGACATACGTGTAACATGTTGATGTACATAGAAAAGGTTTGCATCCAACGGTGCAATGCTACTTTCCTTGGTCTCACTCATTTAATCTCTCCTTTCAGATGTTATAAACAAGAGAACCAGAAAGATTTTTCCTTAAGATACATGGAGATATTTTGTTGATAAATTGGAAATCGTTCACTTATTGAAATTCTTGTCCTCCTGCCCTTCTTCATTTCAACAGATCTTGGTGAAGAGAACTTTGTGAGAATCAGAGAAAATGATTTAGGCAGCATGCTCACTGAGGAATTCTAGGTGTTAGGCCACACATCTTAAAGTTGCCAAATTTGAGGAAAAAAACCACATTGATTTAGATCAGGGGTGGGGAATGATGGACCCTTTATGACCTGTGGACATTGACTCCCAGAATTCTGGCTCAGGAATTCTGGGATTCGAAGACCACAGGTCATAAGGGTTCCATCGTTCCCCAACCCAGATTCAGATGGCTTGAAGAGTATGGCACTGCAAATTGCCATACTCTTTTGAGTATGGCAATTTGGCATAATCTAAAGAGACAGGATTATTTGAAGAGTCCTGGTGCTGTAGGAGACTTCTGAGTAGATGGGGTAAAAGGATAGGAAACCTGTTGAAATGAAATTGAACGGATACTATGGAAGGGGACTTTGAAGGACATCTGTACTGAGCTATGGTTATCTCACAAACTTTATATAAAGGACTGCATAATATTATTTATAATTATCTTTTCACGTTGAATAGTTTCTCTTAGAAATATACGGTTAAGCATTAAACAGAAGAAAGAGGGAGATAACTTCTTCCTGAATGCAAATGTTTTGTTGCCATGGCAATGGGTACATCTGGAGATACGTGGCCTTGGCAGTAGGCATTGTAAATAAAGTGTTCCTGACTCTCCTTGCCCATTATGTAGTTATGCTCCAACAAGAGCAGGGTCTTTCCAATCACACTTCTCTTTGCATACATTAAGCCAAGGACAAACTAGTTTACTTCAAGGTTTCACACTCTCTAACTCTGACAGTCAAGATCAACCTATTTTTTAAAAAAAATAACACTGTGTTCTTATACAATAACAAGAGCATTATGTGCAGACATGGAAGGACTCACAAATACCAACAATGGAAGAATATGATTGTGAAAGTAATAGATTTGGAGGAGATGGGGAAATTGGCTGCTTTGATTAAAGAAAAGACTTTATCCAGCTTTGTTTTTACTTGGAAACCACTTTTGGACTTTTTGCTGGACATTAAAAGAAAACAAGTTTTACCCTTGGGATTTGATGATCAGAACTGCTAATGAGTAAAGAAGTACTGTGTGCTAATGTTTATTCCATTTCAAAGGAACATTGTATTTCATGCTTGTATAACTGTACGGAAAAAGTTGGAAGTTAACTTTTTTATAGCTTTTTCTATAAATTGTCTGCATCCCCCTATTTTGTTTAATTCCCCGCTCACTCTTTTCCGCTTTCTAACTTTTCTCTTGGTTCTTTTGGAATGTATATGTTTTTGACATTTAATAAAATTTTGTCAGAGGGAAAAAACACAAATTGCCTGCAAAAGGAAGCTCCAGTCCTTCTTACATTGAAAAGAGGACTGAGGGGCAAGAGAACAAGTCAGAGACCAAAAAGAAGAGGGCAAGACCCATAGAGAACCAGCAGAACCTGTCAGAGCCACAAATTGGCTGATGCAGAATATGTAATATTAGTCTACCTCCTCCATGAGCACTAATGCATTCTACCTGGCCAATATGCAGCAACTGGGAATGGAGTAAGAGGGGGGGAAATCCTTACAGAACAGCCATGCCTAAGCATATCCTTGATTGACTCAGCTACAGATGGATGATAAAATAAAGGCAGTTGTATGCAGGCAGTCTTCTGGAACATTTAATGGATTGTCCCTGCATCAGGACCAAGAGATTCTGCAGATTTTCACGTAGTAATGTGAATGTGAACCAGGTTTTAGGAAGAGTGTTAAGATGTCTGTATTTATGAAGAACTTTATATCATTATTTTGGTTTTAGAAAAAATACTGGCATGTGTGCCCTCCCAATTTTTGAATTGATTATCTGTGGAAAGGAAAGACAGTAATTTACACGATCACAGTTTAATTTGTTTTAAAATTGCATTGTGTTAGAAACATAACATTTTACATTTTGATGGTTTTTTGTCTTTTATTAGTCTTGTATTAAGTACAAATAACAATTTAAAAACAAATAAGGTATCCATGAGTGCCTGGCATCACAAGGTATCACACTGGGAACCTAGCATTAGGGCATACTTTGATAATGTGGTGTTGAGATACAGGTTATCAAGCACTTCCATCAGAAAAGCTGAATGGAGCGGCTATTGAATATCATTTAAAATGGTCAAAACAGGACAGTGTCTTCCAGTGAACAGGAAAGCAACAGACTAGACAGAAGAATGACTTAGTTTCGTTTTCTCAATCACATGTGTCTTGAAAACCACATTTTTTTTTAATATTGAATTTGGAGGGAGGTGAGTTATGAGTTTCTTAGAAATAGCTGTTTTGTGTTTGTGTCTGTATAACTGCCAGAGTTGCCTTGGAGAATATGAATAACGCTGTTCAGATTCCCAAAATGCAGGCGGGTGGAAATTCAGATGCATAAAGATACTCCAGCTGTAAAACAGGATGTCTTGTCAGTATAGGAGTTTTAAGATGGTGCACTTCTTATGAGGAAATAACTCAAGTTAATAGAGACTGGTTGTTGTAACAGCTGACATCTGGGTATAATAGTGAAGTTTTTAGCTTAAAAACTTTCCATTTCCAAGAGCTAATGCTAGAGGTATGTTTGAATAATCTCTTGCTTTTGCACTAGGTAATTATTGTTCTGATGTAATTATTTTTCTCATGACTGATCTATTTCCTGATGAAGCATATAGTTTATTATGAGTTTTCTCTGTACTTCCGAGGTAGGTAAAATGAGGACCTGGATTGTGGGGGCAATAAGCTGACTTTGTATAAAAAGAACACCGCTTATGGGGGGGCCAAAAGCCCTACTAAGCAGGTATAAACAAAAGTATGAAGGCTATTGCTTAACGCATTGTAAGCCGCCCTGAGTCTCCGGAGAAAGGCAGCATATAAATCGAACCAATAAAATAAAATAAAAATAAATACTGATTTACCATCTATGCAACAGAATATGATTCCTCAACCTGTTCTACTGCTTCAGTCTAATGTCAGAATGGGTCCCAGGTCACGAAAAGATCTATAAACTTGGCTAATCGATAGGATTAACTGAAGAATTTTCAATTTTCCAGAGAAGATGAGGCATGTGTCATCTATTATTCCTGGCAATTAAACGTTTGTCTTATTGGAGGATTTCTAGTAAAGGTATAGAGATAAAAAGAACCATTCCCAGTTTTTCATATCTCATTGCTGGAGATGGAATCAAATTTTTGAATGGTTACAAGGTCTATGTTCAGATTCCAAAACAACTCACCAATTCCAGAACCACAACAGTTCTGCAGAACATGCAAATTATCCAAATGCAATGCAAGCAATCGAACAAAAGCTTGATATGCAATAATCCAGAAACCACTTTACTGTTACAATAATTTGCATACATACCAAATTAATGGTCTATCATAGGAGCAGAGAGGGATTTAGTGAAAATCTGAGAGCCAGGAATGATGGATTTGTGATCTGACCCATCTGGAGGGCATTAGGTTGGGGAATGCTGATATAGACTAAAAATCTACAACTAAGTCACAATTTGACAATTGAATTCAAGCCCTAGGATGGTGAATCCAAGCCCTAGCATTTTTAAAAAATTGCTGAACTTAGAGTTGTTGAACTAATAATGCTGATGGTAACATATCATTAAAACCCTAGGTTACTAAAAAAAATGTTCAAATGGCTTAAACGAGGGCTATTCTCCCCCCCCTCTGTTTATGTCAATGGGAGCCACAGTGCTGTTTGTTATCAAAGCCTGCAAGTAGGGTAGAGGGGAGCTGCTAAACTCTGGGTCAAAGGCTGATAATAAAAGAGGTGGAGAGAAAGAAAGCCTCATAAGAGTTAGCTTGCAGCAATTGAGACACATTCAAGTCTTGGAAGAAACATGGATGTTAAAGCATGGTTGGCCTGTATGCTGCTTGTGGAGCAATGGAGCCAGGGGTTCCACTACATTGGAGCAATTTTTGTTTCTCAAAAAGGAGGCTTTTCCTTAAGTGGAGTTCCCCGACCATCAAATAACATCAGGGCACTGGAGCAGTCCAATCCTGACATACATCTTACTTGGAGTAAGCTGCCGACTCAAGCAAAGCCTTACAGCCTCTCCCTCTCTCCTGAGGACTACCACTACTCTGTGCCCAAGCCAAAGCATTTGCGTACTTCCAAGCTGATGAAACGTCTGGGATCTTCCTATGATGCTTTCTGGATGTCTCCTGAGGACCCCCGAGGTCGGAACCCAAGCACTGAAGAACTGAGCACACAAAACCGAGAGCTGGCTAAACATACCGTCCGATTTAGGAAGAAGCTCCTGCAGGAGACGAGCAGATTAGAGCTTCCCAAGTTGCAGCCATTGTTGCCTTTTGAGGATGGGATCGCTCGTAATTTGAGCCAGTCCTTCATCTATCGTCTACGTCGATGGCTAGTGAATAGCGCAACCTGTTCTTTAACCTCTTCCTGGAAAGACATGGGATCTGTCTTCTGGCCACGCTGGATACGCCATACATACTGTGACCTGATGCAAGCTGGATGCTCTTGGCCTCCAGGAATGACTTGCCAGCCAGCCCAAACTACCCACATCAAACTCCTAGCATGGCACTGTTGGATAAATGGAACCCAGTCTCTGAATCGTAGAAAGTCTCGTAAGGAATGTGTTTGGAGACAAATTCCTTATCCTGTTGTAACTGCATGTAAGTGTGCCTGCTCGTGATACAGATGAAGTGAATTTTAGACTGCAGCATTGGACTTTGTGAAGATTTTGTTGTCATTTCCCTATTAGATGAAAACTGGTCCTCAAGATGACATAAACTTGAGGTTCAAATCTTAAGAGCAATAATTGTAATGAAAATGAGAGAAGTCCTTCATGAACATCTTAAAACCTGGGCTTGGAGGAATCTTCACAGCTATGTAAAAACAAAACAAGACCAGGTATTAAAGTTCTTTGTCATATCCAAAGAATGCTAGCCAAATGCAAAACAGAAACACCAGCATCTTTCTCAAATGTGCAGTGATGAAATAATAGCAGAAACTATATGTTTTAATCAAGAGTTTTGGAACTCTGGAAATTTAGTAATAGATTTCTTTAATTGGAGATGATGCATGAGGTCAAAAAATAAATGGGGTAAAGAAATAAAAGGACTTAATTAGAATTTGGGTTAACAAGTCTCAGCATATTATTATCACTATGTTACTATAGATGTTTGTAGTCTTGGTTATGCATAATTTAGTAAGCCTTATATATAGGGTACATGGACCCAAACTTTGACATTTTTCATTGTGGATTCTATTAAAAAGTTTTTTTAAAAAATTAAGTTCTGTGGTTTTAATCTAGGTCTTTGAAATTAAAGAACTGCTATTCAGTTCACTTTTATCTATACGAATCCCTAGCAAATATTTAAGTAAATGGAAGATTCCTACTTTGCTAAAACCTCCTTTGGCCTGGTTTCTATGTATTCCTTCCAAATATATCAAGTCTCGGAACATAAATAATGCATCTGGGAATTGGGATAGGCTGTTCAACAAAGTGCAGTACAACTGTAATACTATATACATGTTTCCCTGAGACTCCTAATTAGACTTGGGTAGGATGATATCATAATAATAATTTCACAATCTTCAAGAAAGTTACAGACTTGATGGCATATGTCTGAAATGACATGTGCGTTACTAAATCATCCAACCTTCCAGCATCTCAAAACAGTGTTGTCTGGCTTGTATGGAACCAATCTGGCCAATTTTATAAAGCTGGGTGATATTTTGATGCAATTTAATTTACAGGTAGAAATCTTTGTGATTGAATGGCTTGTTACACGTGACATAGACTGCCAGTATGTTATCAATTAATTGTAATGTATTAAAAATCATTTGTGATGAGATGTTTTGATGAATTTAGCAATCTCTTGCTCAGTATTGCTTAGAGCAAGTCTTGTTCTTCTAAAATGGTCATCTTGAGGTCTGCAAGACAGCGTCCTGGGAGGCTGAAATGCTCTGATATTATTTTATTCTGTGTGCGTATTGCTCAATGTATTTGACACCAGGACTGAAAACAAGGACAATGTAGACCATTAAGCTCAAGCAGATGTTATGCAGTGTTTGATCTGTGCAGGGTGGGAATTCCTTGGCTTTTGCCTCATAAAGCAGAACAGTATCATAGCTTGAAAGAATGACTGATGTCTGTTTTTCCTGCCAGTAGATGGTATCAGGGACCTCACTACGAAGGCAGAATATGATATGCAGTGAAGGTATGCCAGAATACTTTTGTGCCATCTCCTTGCCAGGAGAAAACATATTAATACTGCTTTGAGGAAAAGCCCTGGCCAGAGGAACTCCTTATTCATCTTGACTTATGAAAAATTCGACAATAAGGACCTTATCAGGAATCAGTGTTGATTTCATAAGGCAACAGATCTGCCAAAATGCATTTCCTCCTAAATCGTTTCCTACAAGTGTAATAGAAACCCAACATTGCAAGACAGCTCTGGGTTCATAAGACAGAAGCACTCCAAATTGAGTTATATTTTGAACCTTCCTACCTTGCCTAAAAAATGTCTCAGTACTTAAGAATATAGCAATAGCAATTAAACTTATATACCGCTTTACAGTGTTTTACAGCCCTCTCTAAGCGGTTATAGTCAGCATATTACCCCCAATAATCTGGATCCTCATTTTACCAACCTCAGAAGGCTGAATCAACCTTGAGCTGATGAGACCCGAACTGCTGGCAGTTGGCAGAATTAGCCTGCAGTACTGCATTTTAACCACTGCGCCACCACAGTTCCACAATAAACATTCCAGAACATTAGCATCCATAACTAGTGTGAGGTGGGAATTTCTGCCAAGTCTATTATTAATTCCTAAAGCTGAGTGGCTCTTTCAAGAGATGTTCCTGTGTCTGGTTTTGTAATTGTTGATTGCCTAAAGGTTTGCTGAGTCAAAGGCTCTCATAACGTAACGATCATAAGAGGCGAGCACAGAAGTTCAGAAGTTTTCCAGCAATTGAGAGAACAGTTCAAACAGGCAGAACAGATCATATTATTACAATTATTCTTTTTATCATGAAATCTACTTATATGCCAATAATCCATTCTAGAAGCCAGTCTGATACAGTGCTTACAGGCATCAGACTAGAAACCAGGATACCATTAGTTCTAGTCCTGCCTTAGGCACAAGCCAGCTGGGTGACCACAGGCCAGTCACTTTCTCTCAGCCCTAGGAAGCAGGCAATGACAAACCATTTCTGAAATCTTATCAAGAAAATTGAAGGAAGTCAGTTGCCAGGCATCAAGGCTGCTTCAAAGGAATACATACAAATTCTAATTTTGCAATTACCATATATCCTACGAACATTGGCAAAATGTATGTGAATATCCTACTTTGTCATCCTTTTAAAGTGTTCATTTCCTCTACCCTTGATCTCCCCCACTGAAATAATGGAATGGATTAAGAAAAAACACTTTGATACTTGTTTCTTTCCTATTCAGTTCGCTGTTGCTCAGGACAACAAAGTCGAAGAGGTATCAGTGCAAAATGTCTTGAGTAAGATTAGTCATTATTGCAGGAGATTAGTGAGAAATAGGAAAGGCACATATATCCGGTTTTTCTATGTGTTTCCCAAAGATACCTCATGTAATTCATTGATAGCAGAGAATGTATGTTTCTAGCCATTATAACTGGCTCACTGGTTGCCACCACCCCTGTATATAATATGAGATGGGCAGAGATTTTACTTTCGCCTCAGACAGAAAAAAGTTGGGTTTATGCTAATTTAATGAACACTCAATACTGCTTTTTAAAAAAGAAACATGGCAATGCTTTAAGATATATTCTTATATCCTATAAAGATATACATTATATCTTATAGTTATGCCAGTTTGATTTTACAGAAGGGAACCTGACCTCTTTCTTAATCTTAACAGTGGTTGTGCTAGTAGGGCTTCCACATGCAGGCTACACAAATAGAGTCACTAGACTGGTGCGCTATATTTCCTTGTTGCCGTGTAGTGCTGTCCAGCTCTTTAAGGCCAGATATGGTAATCTCATGTACATGGTAGAATTGCAAAATCAAATTTGGCTTTACCCCATCACAAACATGCTTGTACTTTGGCTCCTTTGTCCCATTTAGAACACATCCTATTCCCTCCCTTTTCCCACTTCTAATTGTGTGTGTGTGTGTGTGTGTGTGTGTGTGTGTGTGTGTGTATACACATACATACATACACACACACACACAAAGGAGACTATTAAAATAGAGAGAACCAGTAATTGTTTGTTAATGCTTTTAGTATATTGTAAGGAATATACAACAATGAGGAGATTGCATAATGAAAAGCAATAAACTACTGCAATTTATGTATGTTCTGCTGCCTTGGGGTCCCTGAGGCTAGAGTTACAAATACGCCCTCTGGTGATCAATCTGAAGAAATTGCTTCCATAAAGAGAAATTTGTGCAAGGATGAGAGGGGAAAAAAGTCATCTTTCCCTCTCCTTCCTCCAACTTGATTTCTGCAAGAAAGGGGTAAAATGGAGCCACAATGGCCTGACCATAAGACACAAATCAGAATGGGGTATTTTATGCAACCTTTTCCCTTGTGTTCTAACAGGGATGTCAAACTCAATTTCATTGAGGGCCACATCAGGTTTGTTTGACTTTGGGGGGCTGGGGGGGGGAGAGTGGCCAGGGGGGAGTGGCCAGCTTGATGTCACTTGGCCCGCCTGGGCTCTGTTTTTGGCCACAACAGCCACCTGCAGCCCTCTGCCAGTGAAAATGGAGCTCAGGGAAGCTGCGCATGGCCAGCCCAGGCTCCATTTTCAGTCACGAGGGCCTCCTGCAGCCCTTTGCCAGCAAAAACAGAGCCCGTGCAGCCCCCCCACCTCCATTTTCACTGGCAGAGGACTGCAGGAGGCCATCACAGCCGAAAATGGAGCCTCCCAAACTCCATTTTCTCTGGCAGAAGCACCGAGGGCCAGTCCTTTGCTGTTTCAGGGCGGCCACAAGGGCCAAATCTAAACACCCTGCAGGCCAGATCCGGCCCCCGGGCCTTGAGTTTGACACCCGTGTTATAAGCTCTGGTTGCCTTTGACCACGGGAGAGACAATCGTTATTTATCTTCTACCATAGTAGTGGATTGTAGTTCTTAGAAGAACATAGACCTTCAATTAACATTGCATCATTGGAACTATTGCAAACTAACCCTTATAAAAAGAGCAGGCAAACTGGGGAATTTGGAACTGTAATTTCCACAGTCTTTGTCATTGGCAAAGCTAAAGAGTTATTTGGCAGCATTTGGTTCCAATTGTAGAAAGGCACGGTTCATTTCCTGCAGCCGTTTAAGGCAAGGCTCCATGTTTACGCCCCACTTCAATAAAGGCCTCCACACATCGATCAATATCCTCTTCGCTGTGAACAGCTGAGATCTGAACTCGGATACGGGCTTTACCTTTGGGCACTACAGGATAGCTGAAGCCGATGACATAAATGCCTGTTGGGTGATAAGAATGGTGCTGCTGTTAGTCCAACCTTGGTTTGGCTCTGGGTTGATATGAGGGAGGGAAGTTGGGTTGGCTATCTGCACTTGGGAAGGGTAGCCGTGGCTAGGTAAAAATGCTTCTCACTCCCATTTCCCTCATACACCATACATTCATTCACTCACCACTCCACTCAGAAGCACCCGAGCTGGTCTTTCAGCTGCCTGTAATAATTGAGTCACATCCGGCATTTACAAGGATAGGCTGTTTTGCAGAGGCAGCCACATCCCACCCAGATTCTTAGCTTACGAAAGCAAACACTAAAACAGAGTGGGTGTGGAGGAGGAAAGGAAATAAGATAGGGGCATGAAGGAGGAGGAGTGGGGGTGGAGGCAATGCCTGGAGATTGGCAGCTATTACAATTAGGCAACAGGACTATCATTCAACTAGCTATGGTGA